GGTGGTTTTGGTGTCTGCTGCAGTGCTTGGAGTCCTCAGGAAGTGCTAGGAGCATCCTTCAATGGAGGTACCCAGTCGGGGTGCCAGGTGATCCGTTACATCGGGCACACCGTGGAGCAAGTTGAGAAGCCTGGAGACAAAAGACCTCCCCCGCGGAATGACACGCATTGCAAAGTTGAGGGACCCCAATAAGGACTAGAGGCCCCTCTTGTGAACGTAACACTCTGCAGGAACAGGACAATCTCGTTCCTAATGTGGGACAGTTTGTCTGGTGGTAAACTGGCTTGGAAGGTAGTGGTGTCCAGTACTATGCCCAAGAAAACGAGCCTGGTAGAGGGACAGAGTGTTTTGCTTAGTGACAAAGGGACCGCGAGTGTCGTGAAAAAAGCTGCGGTGGAGTGTATACTGTGAGGGGATTGTGAACCTGGTTCTATCAATAAAAAAAATCATCTAGATAGTGGATGACAGAGGGACACCTGATTATATTTAGGAGCAGCCAGCAGAGGGTTTCTGCGAAGATATCGAATAACTTAGGGCTGCTCCTATAACCAAAAGTGAGCCGGGTGGCGAAAAAATACCTGTTCCTCCATTTACCACCGTGTAAGTGCCATAGTGAAGGGTGAATAGGTAGTAGTTTGAAGGCATTAGTTATATCTGTTTTGCTCAACCAAGCCCCACTACCTGCGAATATGATGGCTTGCATGGCATCATCAATTTTAGCGTAATGTAGTGAGAACTCCGTGGCGGGAATGAGGGAGTTGATACAGGGACAGGAGGAAGAGTGAGGTGCGGAGAGGTCTATAATCAAAGTTTTTTGTTGTAGTATTTGTGAGTGGCTATACCGATGGGATTGGTATGCCAAGATGAGACAGGTGAAGACAGAAAAGGGCCGATCATGAAACTGGCTGTGATTTCTGTGGACAGAAGGTGGTCCACCGTGAGTGGGTCCGTGGAAGCGGATAAAAGGTTAGGGCATTCGAGTGTACCTGTGGGGATGGCGATAAGGCCCATGTGAAACCCCTGTGAAAAACCTGTCACCATATAATCTACCAGGTGCCTAACTGGACGTGACTGAAGATAGTATTCCAGGATGTCAATGTTAACCTCGGTCAGGTGTTTCTTAGGTGACAGATGGGCTGGGCAAGTGGACTTGCTGTGGGCCCTGATGCAGATGTGCAGTGCCTCGCATGCCGTGAGATTACATACCCCCGCATTAAAGTCACTGCACACCCGAGCCTTGCCCAGAAATGTAATGGGACTGTCCAGCGTGTCTCTCTGCCCGCCTCCCTGACTAGTGTGTGGGTTGAGGGGGTGGTGAGAAGTGGAAGTGTCTGTCTTGCTAGTGAGCGTAGTTTGGGAGGTCAGCAGTAGGGACATCAAATTAATGTCTTTACCCTCAAGAATTCCCTTTTTAATGGACTCTGGGACAGGGTGGGCCAGGGAAACGTATGGAGTGGGTAAGACAGAGACCGCCAGGGCAAGGTTTGTCGAGCCCAACGAGACACCTGGTGTGACTGTGGCGGAACCAACCTCGCCACTGGGCATTGGAGAAGACTGATTGCCAGCCTCCTGCCCTGTGACTATGGCCCCATGTTGAAATGCTTGATTTTCCCCTGCAAAGACCCGAAAGCCGAGTCATTCGGTACTTTCCCTATGTGAGCAGTGTTATCCCAGATAGCTACGCCATGGAGCCCATTCGTATAACAAAAGACTATGTGAAAGACTTTGGCTCCATGGCAATTGAACTGTATGTATGTGATCTGAGCGCCATTCAGTCATAATGGGCGCTCTGATCTAAGCTATCTGGGGATATGTACCTGTTTTATGCAATAGCTGCACAGTTATGTATTTTATTGTATTTTGCTACCATGTGGCTAATGGAGTTTTGCCTCTGTCCTTGGAGATAATTGGATTACTTCCCAATTATCTACAGGATAGAAGACTATGTGGAACTGGTTTTGGGCAGAAAAGCCATGCTTCATTTGGTCAAATAGGACTTTCCCTTAACTTTTTAACCGATTGCCCTGATTTTTGAGTATGTGTATATTTCAAGCATGCTGATTCTGAAAATGTATATTTTATGTGAATGGCATGTATATTTTGGAAGTTATTAATATTTTGTAAAAACTATTTCTCTGCCTGTGATAATTATATTACCCATTGTGTTCAGTAATTAAATCACAGGCAGAGGGGAGGATTTTGTGTGGGAGTGTCTGTGTGTATTGTACGGATTGATTGGTTGTATTTCAAAACCCTGTGGGCAGTACTATGTTTGTGGATTGTGAATAAAAGAGGCTGTATGTGCCAGTACAGTCAGTTCTGCTTGACCTCAAAATGAAGTGTCGTCTCATTATTGGGGGAATTGGATTGTATGCTGATTGCCAGGAGTGTAAGCGGATTGTATGATTTTCCTGTTCAGCGGTTTATGGCATTCATATGCTTGAGAGCCAGTGGCGTACATACCAGGGTCGCGGCTGCGACCGGGCCCGGCCCATCAGCGGGCCCGGCCGCCCCTGCGACCCGGTATGTAGCCACAGGGCCAGCCTCTTCCCCTGCGGGGCCCAGGAGCCAACCACCCCAGGGCCCCCCGAGGCTGGCCCTGCTGACATCCAGCAGGCGGGCGCGCGAGGGAGCACTCAGTGCTTCCTTTTCAGCTCCCTCGCGCACCGCACTGATACCGGAGCCGGAAGATGACGTCATCTTCCGGCACCGGCACCGGCATCCCTACGCGGCGCGCGAGGGAGCTGAAGAGGAAGCACTGAGTGCTCCCTCGCGCGCCCGGCCGGCCGCCCGCCCGACCAGCCACCCGCCCAGGAGCCCAGCAGCACCACTGGACCCCAGGGAATCCCCACAGCACTCCAAAAGGTAAGGAGGCTGGGGGGACTACATTTTAAAAAAACAAAAAAAAACTAGTGTTAGTGTGTGTCTTCTAGTGAGTGTTAGTGTGAGTGTTAGTGTGTGTGTGTCTGCTAGTGAGTGTTAGTGTGAGTGTGTGTGAGTGTTAGTTTGTGTGTCTGCTAATGAGTGTTAGTGTGAGGGTTAGAGTGAGTGTGAGTGTCTGCTAGTGAGTGTCAGTGAGTGTGTTACTGTGTGTGTCTTACTGAGTGTGTGTGTTAGTGAATCTGTTTGATGTCTGTTAGTGAGTGTGTGTTTGTCAATGAGAGTGTATGTGAGTGTGTATGTATGTCTGTCGCTGACTGTGTCTCTGTCAGTAAATGTGTGCATCTGTTAGCTGGTGTGTATGCATCTGTAAGTGTGTGTGTGTGTGTGTGTGTGTCTTCAGCACTTACCTTTCTCCAGCGCCGGACTCCCTTGGCGTTAGGGATCCCTCAGCCTCTCAGCTCCGAATGCAACCGCGCACGCATTCAAACCGCCCATAGGAAAGCATTACTCAATGCTTTCCTATGGACGTTCAGTGTGCTCCTCTAGCGGCTGTCAGTGAGACAGCCACTAGAGGCTGGATTAACCCTCAGTGAAACATAGCAGTTTCTCTGAAACTGCTATGTTTTCAGCTGCAGGGTTAAAACTAGAGGGACCTGACACCCAGACAACTTCATTGAGCTGATGTGATCTGGGTGTCTGTAGTGGTCCTTTAAAGGACCACTATAGTGCCAGGAAAACATACTCGTTTTCCTGGCACTATAGTGCCCTGAGGGTGCCCCCACCCTCTCTCGCCCAGCTCTGGAAGGGGGAAAGGGGTAAAACTTTTTTCCAGCGCTGGGCGGAGAGCTCTCCTCCTTCTCTCCTCCTCCGTTCCTCCTCCTGGGCTGAATGCGCACGCACGGCAAGAGCTGCGCGTGCATTCAGCCCGTCGCATAGGAAAGCATTTACAATGCTTTCCTATGGACGCTTGCGTGCTCTCACTATGAAAATCACAGTGAGAAGCACGCAAGCGCCTCTAGTGGCTGTCAATGAGACAGCCACTAGAGGATTAGGGGGAAGGCTTAACCCATTCATAAACATAGCAGTTTCTCTGAAACTGCTATGTTTATGAAAAAATGGGTTAACCCTAGCTGGACCTGGCACCCAGACCACTTCATTAAGCTGAAGTGGTCTGGGTGCCTAGAGTGGTCCTTTAAGTGTGTGTGCATCTGCATGCCCTGGCGTACATACCGCGGTCGCAGGGGTCGCAGCCCTGTAACCCCTGCGACCAGGTGCCCACCGCCATGTGTTGCGGCCCGGCCCGCGCGCGCGGGGGGGGGCCCACGGATCAATTTTCGCACCGGGGCCCCATGGGTCATGTGTACGCCACTGTTGAGAGCATTGGTATGCTTCTCCGGTTCGGTGGTTATGGTGTCTGCTGCAGTGCTTGGAGTCCTCAGGAAGCGCTAGGAGCATCCTTCAACGGAGGTACCCAGTCGGGGTGCCCGTCGATCCGTTACAGTGACTATAGCCGATTCCACTTTTGCCAGCCTGTGATTGATCGTTTGGAGTATAAGTATAGCGACCAGTGGTGTCTCATGTGGAATCCGAAGTGTGAGCTGGCAGTCTTTGTGAACTACAGCCTGGCCTGGGGACGTTTGCCTGTGTGGTCATAAGCCTGTATAGTTCGGCCTTCCTGGCAGTGGCAGAAAAGGGGATACCCCTGAGTGAGCTCCGTTGAGATTTTTGGAATGGTCTAGTATCTCAGGGACCTGTGGGTAGAAGGGGTGAGGGATTTCTCAGGAAACCCACGCCTGACTGGCAAGTTGGGTATTCTGTCCGATGGTAGATCGATGATCGGTTCTTGTGACATCTGAACAAGGAATAATGATTTGAATAAGTAGGGTGAGGAGGAGGTGGAGGTGAGACCTCCGGAGAACTGGCCTGCTAGCTAGTGCCGAAGCGAAGAGTTTACCTAGACCAAGTGACAGATGAGGCCCTGCCAGTGCCGAGTGATGGAGAGAGGCTCTACCTATGATTTGGGCCAAGGGGATTTTGTGGCCACGTGGCAGGGTGTAGGCCTTTCGGTGACCGTAAAGAGATTCAAAACGTGTGGCCGTGACTTGGGAAACCCTAACTGTAGCCCTAAAGAAGGGCGAGCGAGGTGGCTAAATATGATTTGGTCGTGGGGCTGAACCTCCGTGTATGAGGTGGGGTGTAGACCTCTCGACCGGGTATTAACTTTGATAGCTAAGGCCAGAACCTAACCCTATGAGCCAGTTCTCTAAACTAATGGGGCTTGTCTCTTGGAATGATGTATTTGAACGTATGTAAATACTAACCTTGAGTATTAGTTCTGTTTGTTTGGACAAAGCACAGGAAGACTTTGATATGTCTCTATATTTGCTTCTGCAGGAAATGGGCTCGATCCAGAAACCCAAGGGTGAAGGAGATGCTAGTGGGCCTGAGGCGTGCCACTGGTGTGTCAAGTGTGAAAATGTAGAACGTATGGGTAAGTGTGTATCAGAGATACTGTAATGTAAGCCTGTGTAGGCTGAGGGACCTGAACATTGGTCCATAATTAGCGACAAGCTCCTGGGTTCCCACAGATGTGAATCTTTTGAATGATACGAAGGCGAAGTGAGGCCTTAAGGAGAACGTAATCGTAGTGAGTAAGATAAAAAAAATACCTGGTACTGAATGCTGGGGACCGGGTAGCCTGTTGGTTGTTGATGGCGTAGTGGAACTGCGAAAAATGGCGCAGGTCTAAGTAATGATATGTAGAAACGATAAACAGGAAATGACACGTTAATATAATATTAGCACAGTTGTATAGGTTTATGAGATTTGTTGGCATCTTGGTGAGACATCTTAGACCTGGTGTGTTTGAAGTTTAGAACCCACTTTCTGAACCCTTACTTTGAAACACAAAAATCGGCGGGGAGAGGTGAAGACTGCTTTTTTTGTATCACTTGTTATTATTGCACTGCGAAAAACATACTGTTGAGATTCTATAAATGATTATTAAACCAAAATGTGTAAATATTGAAAAATCAAGTAGCTTTTATTCTGGCTCTCGATACATGACCACTGTGGAAAAACATAAAACAATTGAATGTCGTATTAAGATGTAACATAAATGGATTACGGATTGAATAGTAAGTGAAAGATCTGCAAGGAAATATATGTGTGTGTGTGTGTGTGTGTGTGTGTGTATAGTTCAGACTGAGATACACTGTACAATGTATAATCTTGTGATCCTGGACATGCTGCATTGCTTTTTCTTTGTTCTTTCCATTAGTCAAGAATCCTGCTCACGTACAACACTATTCAAAAGTTCCTCTTTGCTAGACTTGTACCCGCTTTCCTTCCAGCGTTCTCGAAGCTCCATAAGGATCTTGCCGAGTTCTTTTCCTGAATTTATACCCATTCGTCTCAAGTCATGTCCACTGACTGGAAAGCGAGGAAGGGTCCAGCATTCCATGTCTTTAAACATTTTTTCTTCCCCCTGGTATTTAAGCAATTCACATATTTTTTTATGTGCGTCAGGCTCCCGAGACTAAAAGAAAGAGGGAATGCTATTAGGGTAAGGTTAAATAGACAATAAAGGACAGCATTCAAAAGTGAGACAAAATACATATTAATATCCAGAAAAACATTGTGAAGTTATGTCACTGGATTACAGAATAATACTAACATCAATCACATAGTCTTGGTAGGGTTTCAGAGGTTCTGAATCTCTGGAGTCAGCAGTCAGCTCGTTGCGTTGCTTCAGTAAAAATAGGGCAAGGTTCTTCTCCTCCTTTGAAATCTTCAGCCGCAGTTCCAATTTGTTCACAGCATCCGGGTTTGAAAACAGAGCAGTCAGGAGGGTTAGAGGTTTAGGACACAAATGTGCGGAGTGACCACAGACTCTGGCAAATTCAGTCAAGTTTACATCCTCTGGTAATCCTGTTGGGATAAATGGAATTGAGGTTACCTCAAAGTGTAGCTAGAGAGAACTTTGCTATTTGTGCGAACTTGATATTAATAAAAAACAAATGTAAATGGTATCACAAATCATGACCCTAATGGTATATTGTTATTTTTATCCATCTAAGTAAAGCATGACCTTTAAAACATGTCTAGTGTTTCCTAAAAACTCAAAGAATACCACAAAATTAAACCACTAATTTACCAAACTAAAAATCACTGTAAAATAAAAATGGATATTAAGTATATTAAAGGGACACTAGTCACCAAAATATAAAATTCTTTATTGTATTTGTTCTGGTGAGTATAATCTGTCCCTCTAGGCTTTTTGCAGTAAACTGTTTTTTTCAGAGAAAGTATACATGTTTACGTAAGATTTTTTCCTGAAGATTAGAGGCAGTGCTTTACAACAGGGGATTTCTAATCTGGAGGGAAAAAACAGGCAGGCAATCCCAAAAATTTTCAAGAACCTCCTCCAATTAACCTTTGGCACTATAAAGTGGCTCTTACCTAAGACAGCCCCAGAAAATACAAAATCCGGATAACTGCACAACTTATTCAGTTAGAAAATCGGGGGGTTATGCTTTCCCCTTCAGATTAGAGGCAGTGCTTTACAACAGGGATAACCAAAGCAATCCCCTAAGGGCAGGTCTCATTTCACAACTGCATGTAATACCTTGCGCCCAAAGTTGTGTCTTCCAAGGCCAGTATGCCTAATTGTAATGTTCATGTTTTCTTGATCTAGAAGCCATCAGGACTATATCTGGATAACCGAAGTGCCCTATCTGACCGAAGATCTGGGAGAAAAGGACCAATCTGCTTGTATTAAATGTTGACGACTCAGAGCGTCTGCTATAATGTTGAATACTACTTTCATGTATATAGTTGAATAGACAGAAGGAAAACTCTGACCACAGCATATACTGGAACAAAGATATTTCAAACAAGTTGACCTTGTTGACCAGTTCTATGTAGTTGGATAAACTTATCAATATTTCCCAGCCAAATTCCTTGTTTCTTCATTTCACCCATATGAGAACCCCAGCCAAGACCTGAGGCATCAGTCGTAAAATTCTGAACATCATCTGGAAAGAAAAAACCTGACTGCAGTAAACGGGACGAGGTCTACCAGAAAAACAAAAAAAACCAACAAATCTCTTCAGAGCATGAATGTGGAGTTTCATGGGTATGTCCAAGCTGTACGTTTGCTTGTTCCAGAAGTTTAAAGGGCTTCTTTGAAGAGGTCTCCTCTGGACTTTGCCCAATTGACCACTGGGATAGAGCCTGCTGCAATAGCTACCAGAATCTTAGAAAATACTCTTGGTGCTGAGGAAAGACCAAAGGAAAAGGTCTGAACTGATAATGCAGAGTCTGTCACCGGAAGTTGATTGCAAAGCTTAGGAATCTTTAATGGGTTCTGATTTAAACCTAATTTCACCTTATGGTAAGAAACGACTGGTCTCCTATCCAGAAACAAATCCGGGACAAGTCTGCTTAGCTTTTGAAACTAGCTATTATTAAGCCAACTCAGACTATAGTAGCCAGAGTTACAGACTTTGTTTCCAAATCTTGTCTTGAGATCTAGAACCGAACTGTGAGAACCGTCTGGCATCCTTCATTTCCGCCTGGTTCAAATGGAATGACAGTTTTTGGATTTACCCGCAAAAATCTTTCCAAATTCTTCCAGCAAACGTTTGTGCCTTTGCCACTGAAAAACCCGTAATCAGTGCTATGCATAGAGATGCTGAAGAGAGAAAAAAAAAAGGAATCAAAACAATCTTCCATAGCATCTAGCCTACTGAAGGTTAAGAGGTTTTTAGTGTTAGGAAATGAAAAAGCTTCCCTGAGAATCAAAGCCTTTAATGTGGATGCAAAGGAAAAACCTTAGATTGCTCCTGAACGGTTCCCTATCAAGCAACCAAAACTGCACTCCTCTGGTAAAGGGAATTCTTAATCAGAAGATTCAGTATTTAGGCTGTTGACAATGCTCCATAACCTTGAGGGGCGGGTGTACAAAAAAAACAAAATAAATTAGGTGCCTGTAAGGCAGAAGCATTGTAGTAATCAACAAATTTACAGGATGGGGACATTCTGCATAGTGAGTGAATCACAAGTAGCAATTGCCATACAAGCCCTTTCTTAAAAGAAAAAAAATGGCAAAACAAACAGTCAGTAACAATAAACCATTTCATCCCGTATCTGTGGCAGTGCAGGGTACAAAAGTGACCATGGTGGATATGTCCCACGATCGAGAGGCCTGCAGAGCTGTACCAGACATTGAAGTCAAGCCCAGTAAATTGAGAAACACATTTTTTCCCATGGAGGCTAGTTTATACAGGCTACCATCTTTAGTGGCCGCAGAGAGTCTGTTCACATAGATACACAGCCTGCGTAATACAATACCCATGATTTAGGCTTTTTCTTAGCCGGATTTGGGAAGCAGAGGCTTGAGCAGACTGAATGTCTGCATTTCAAACTTTGTTGGAACCAATTTAGGAGAGGTTTTTTTTGTTTTTTTTTTAAATGCAATTCCAACAATCAGTTTAGCACATTCAATACAAAATATATAACTGATATAGAAACATAGAAAGTGACGGCAGATAAGAACCATTCGGCCCATCTAGTCTGCCCAATTTTCTAAATACTTTCATTAGTCCCTAGTCTTATCTTATAGTTAGGATAGCCTTATGCCTATCCCACGCATGCTTAAACTCCTTTACTGTGTTAACCTCTACCACTTCAGCTGGAAGACTATTCCATGCATCCACTACCCTCTCAGTAAAGTAATACTTCCTGATATTATTTTTAAACCTTTGTCCCTCTAATTTAAGACTATGTCCTCTTGTGGTAGTTTTTCTTCTTTTACTGTGTTAAAGGATTTGGTATTAACCCCTTAGTGACCAGGCCATTTTTCAATTTTATTACCGTTAAGGACCAGGGCTTTCTACATTTCTGCAGTGGTTGTGTTTAGATGTAATTTGCCTCTTACACATTTACTGTACCCATACATATTATATACCATTTTGCCCCATGTGCATCTCGCTATTAAATGTTCATTCTAAAGATACCATTATTTTCATCATATAATTTACTAGAATAAAAAAAGTAAAATGATGAAAAATGGAAAAATAAAACACAGCTGGCCATCATGCACCCATGTCCAGGTTGGAACATTTCTGAAGCTGGCCAATGTAATTCACCTCTGTCAAACCGTATGTTTTTGAAAAGTACACGCCCTAGGGCATTTCACATGGTGGCATTTCAGCACTAATTCTACCACCAGTCTCTGTCAAACATTTTTGTGGTGTTATTTTTCACTCACACATTCTACTTTGGGCATAGATTCTAAGCTCCTGTTAGGTGTTACTGCCAAAGGACACCCCAATATGTGATCGGGTACATCTCCCGAGTACAGCGATACCACCCATGCATACATGTGTCGGGTTCACTGGGGGGTGCAAAGCAAAATATCTGATATGCGTTTTTCAAATTTTACATATCTTGTTTGCCTATCTTCCTTTTGGGGGCCTTATCAGATATCCCAATGTATTTTCTTGCCATGAGCGTGCATATATTTGAAAGGTTGACACCCCGCAGTATTGTATGTGGAGTGTTTTGATGCCTTAGATGCAATCATTTAAGTCAAAAAAAGTTGAAGAACGTGTGTGGAGGTAACTGTCCAATCCTCATTTTTACACACGCACACTGCTTTTTCACTGTGATTTAGGAGAACCCCTTGTTGGTTATTGCCTGAAAACACCCCAGGTTGTTTTCTGCAAGGCCTCCTAAGGACACCCATGCCCCCCCATGCACGGGGTAAATGTAACAAAACCAAAAAAAAAAAAAAAAAAAAAAACTGAACGGCAAAATAAAAAATAAATAAAAAATGGACCACCGTGTGGTATAGTTTGAAGCAGTCTCCAATGCAGAGTCCAGGCTGTCCAGGGCAATCAGGACAGTGATATACACTATCTTTTCTCTGCCCCCTCTTAGAACAGACCCTGCATCTTTTTTGGGGATTCTGCTTTGCCGCAGTAGGGGGAATTTTAAAAATAAAATGTGTAGCCCCAACTCTGCTCTCTCCCATCACCGCCCGGGGAGCAGGTGCATCACGGTACAAAATCCCCGAAATGATCTGGAGCTGAAACTGTAAAAATCTCAGTTGCGTCCCGGGGTTTGCTTTTTTGAACAACAAGAAAGCGTTGTGGGTTGCAATCTGCATTAGGTAGATTGCAACCTTTTTGTACCAGGCCCTTGTCTTTCGTATAATTAGGTAGGGCTGCAGCAGCTGATCTGCCAGATCAAACCCACCCATATGCCGGTTATAGGGCTTGATGCACACTGGCTTCCTTGTTCTCTCAGCTCTGCCACGTACAGGGACCTCCACAGTCCCCTCAGTGTGGATGGTGGTAAGAAGGTACACATCCTTCTTGTCTCTGTACTTAACTGCCAACAGCTCCTCTTGGCGCAGAGCTGAGGTCTCCCCCTTTCGTAGCCGGGTACGTGCAAGTTGTCCTGGGAAACCCATGCTGTTCTTTTTAATTGTGCCGCAAGCTACTGTATTAAAACAGTAAAGTAGTTTGAACAAAGGGACGTATAAAAATTGTTAGTATACAAGTGGTACCCTTTGTTCATCGGGGGAATATCAGGTCCCAGACAATCTTGCCACTGGTTCCCATATGTTCTGGGCAACCTGGAGGGTCAAGGTGGCTATCCTTTCCCTCATACACCCGGAAGGCCTGAGTATACCCAGTCTCGCTATCACAGAGCTTATACATCTTTACACCATACCCAGAGCGCTTGGAAGGAACATACTGCTTGAATCCCAGCCTTCCCTTATACTTCATCAGGGATTCATCAACGCATATATTCCTTCCAGGTTTATAAGCCTCTGCAAATCTGGCAGCGAAGTAGGTAATCAGGGGGCGGATTTTATACAGCCTGTCAAACTGGGTATGCTCCCTAGGGGGACACAGGCTGTTGTCGCTGAAGTGCATGAAATGCAGAATCATTTCATACCTCTTTCTCGACATACATTGGGAGTAAATGGGGGTAGAGCAGATGGGGCTACTGCTCCAGTAGGAGCGGATGGAGAGCTTCTTTATGATGCCCATCAGCATAATCAATGCCCAGAATCTTTTAAATTCTGGCACATCGATGGGGGCCCATTGCCGCTTTGCCAAAAAAAAGAGTCAGTATTTGTAGCTCAGAATTGATGGGCATATAAATTAGTTTGGGTGACAATGTTCCCCAATACATCATCGCCCAGAAACACCTCCATAAACTGCTGAGGGCTAAATCCTGTGACATCCAAATTAATGCCAGGATTTGCAGTAAAGGATGGGATGTCTGGCCTCTGGCGATGAGGCACTACCCACTCCTCAGCAGTTCTGCCAGCTGTAGCAGCACGTCTCCTTCTGGCAGGGGGACTAGCAGGCACAGATACAACATCACTAGATACATCACTAGCAGCAGACACTGTATCTAGTGATGATGTATCTGAGCACCTGGCTGGGTCAAAATCAGGGTCAGAGTCTGACATAGACGCGTCAGACTCTAGCGCAAGGGTGGCATATGACTGCTCAGCGCTGGTTGACTTCCGTGACCCATGTGACATGATCACAATCACTTTACTTAGTGACCTGTCACAAAAAAAAAGACAAAAAAAATAACCCCTAAAAAATGAACAGACAGCAAAATAAGTGCTGCTGTGCAAGAGCCTGTGATCTGTATAGTGATCACTGGCAGGACAGGGGTTAATCGTTCTGAAAAGAGCTTTTGGGTCTCAAGATTTTACAAATCCCTACCTATAAATACCTAAATCTCTCTAGCTAAACCACAGATCTCTCTCCCTCTCTCACTAAAACACAAGTGAAGAGAGGGAGGCAGATCCACACTAATCAGAGAAATGGGGAACACACTTGGGATGAAATTGCTAATGGAGCAAGCTGTGATTGGATGACCCCAGCCTGCCCCTTATGATGAGGCATGCTAGGGACACCCCCAGAAGCCCCATGATTCACTGCCTTTAGAAAGGGGGAGGGGGGTTAATATTGATCATTTTATATATATTTTTTTATATATTATTATATATGCACTGAGTGGCAGGACCCATAGAGGCACTCAGCACATGCAGAGCATCACTGCAATACTATCAGAGCTTCCAGGGCTCAAAATAGCTGTGGACGTACCAGGTACGTCAAAGGTCATTATGGACAGTTTTCTGCCAGACGTACCTGATCCATCCGCGGTCGGGAAGGGGTTAAAGAGGACGAAAATGTAATAGAGAATTCCTAATACTGTGGTCCAAGGAATAATTTTAAAAGGACATTGAATTAAAACTTCATAAAACTTACAAAATAACCACAGAAAACCTCAAACGTGCAACCTTAGAGTGAAGCACAGGAAAAGTTCTGCCTCAGCAGAAAACAGACTACATCTTTAAGAAACTGAGATCAGGTGAAACATGTTGAAGTGGAGGTAAGGCTAATTACAACAGAGTTTCAGAGATTTGTCTACAGTGCTTACTAAAGCCTACTGCTTGCTCTAAGAAACTTTCACTGCAGCAGGGATTCTGGCATTTAACAGATCCATCCGCTACAAAAGTATCAATCTGAACACAAGAACAAGTTTTTTAAATTATAAGCCTCCATAAAGATATCATCCAGCGGTTAAGCCTCCAATTGCCATACAGGTCTTGCTGCCTCTGAAGGAGTGGTAATATATTCCACAGGAACACTTTACTCTTTTATATCTCACTGACTCTGTTGCATCATTTAGAGATTATTTATACTGTGTTAGCAGCTATTTATAGCAATAGTTAGGAATACTTGTTTTTTTTTTTTAAACCTTTATTATTTTATACAATTTATATTTATTGGTATATTCCTATCTAATACTCTAAATTTATATCTTGCACACCATTGGGTAAGTGTGCATAGACATTTAGGCTCTGCACAAAAATTGCCTATATATATATATATATATATATATATATATATATATATAAATAAGAACCTATTAGAATCTACTATGGGACCGATCTACTAAGAGCTTACACTTTCAATGCACTATGATTTAAGATTTTAGGAATAATCTTTTATGTTTTTAGCAGCTAATACATTATTATAGTTTTACCATTGTTCTTAGTATTATCTGTGCTTTTTTTGTTTAACGATTATAACTGGGTTGGGAACATACAGCACAGATTAAATGAAATACAATTCAGGCTATTCTCATTTAAGATAAAAGCAAAAAGTCTTACCTTAAATGGCCTCAAAGTGTGTTGGAGGGAAGGTGAGAACACACTTACAACAGATTCTGAGTGCATCTGGCAAACAGTTAGTTGCTGCTGGGTAAAAAGCCTCTCTAAGTTCTTGAAACCAAAATTTTGAAGCAGGTAGAAAAAAAAAAATATAAAAATAATTTTGGCGCCTGAATTTTGAAATCGCATTGCGCATGTGCAACGCGTTCCATGATGGAAAGCATCGCAACCTGTACTTGTGTTCCACTATCAGGACCTCCCAGCTAGCGCACGCAAGCGAACCATCGTCTGCATGTCACAGACGAAAGCAAATACAAACAGGGGAGATGCAGACGTCCGGCGTGCTTATCCCTGGCAGATGTCAGAAAAAAAAAAAAAAGCAGAGCCTCCCGAGCCTCAGCCGTCTCACCTTACACCATCCTCTGCCGAAGGCAGGCAGAGGACTAAGGTTAATTGGGGGAGGTTCTTGAAAATTTTGGGGATTGCCTGCCTGTTTTTTTCTCTCCTGATTAGAAATCCCCTGTTGTAAAGCACTGCCTCTAATCTGAAGGGAAAAATGCAGTGTTTACATTACAGCCTAGGGCCATCTCCACTGGCCACTCCTAAAGATGGCTTCTAGAGGTGCTTCCTCGAGACTGACATTTAGTGTCTCCATCCTGTGCATGGAGACACTGAACTTTCCTCATAGAGATGCATTGATTCAATGCATCTCTGTGAGGAGATGCTGATTTGCCGGGCCGGGTTTAACTTGTACTACCTCTGCCCCGATCTACCTCCTTGACAGTCTCACCCAATCCAATGCTTTCTTATGGGAAAGCATTGTGATTGGCTTATATCACTACTTATGATAATGTCAGCCAAGTAGACGAGTCAGGGGCAGAACCAGCAGCAGCAGACTGGATTATATGTATGATTTTACTATATTTTGTGTTCCTGACCTATAGTGTTTCTTTAATGTTTCTTAAATAATACCCACCCACATGAGGTGCCACTCCAAGTTCATAAATTATTTGAATCAAGTGGTTCACATGGTTTCCTTCTAGGATCTTCTTCAATTCCACCCAAATTCGTTCCCCTGAGATGCCACTTAGGCCTGGGGCATTCTCTTTGATAGCATCCAGTGTTGCAGTTGTATGAATTCCAGGTTTTTCTGAAATTCTTCCGTAGAACCTACATCCAGGCAGTAAGAATGAAAAGAGAAAAATCATAACAACTCAAGGAAATTCCACAGAAGAAATTCCATTCTCCCAGAGGTTATAGGATAGAACAATAGTAAAGCTACAGAACTTTCATCTTACCTAAGGTATCGCAGAATTCGAAGATAATCTTCCTGAATACGTTGAGCTGGGTCTCCGACAAATCGAATGCATCGTTTTTGCAAATCTTCATAGCCATTAAAATAATCGTACAGGGTCCCATCAAATCCTGATGAGTAACAGAAAGGAAATAGGCAAATCATAGAGAAAGGGGAAAAATGGATTCCTAGTTATGGCGCTCAAACTGTTTGTGTATATGAGTTAAACATTAAAAGCTCATAGGGAGACCATAATTCTTGCATTTTATACTTGCAATTTTTGCAGGCTGACGTCTTATGAGGTAGGATATATGGACTCTGGTACATCACAGAATGTGAGTTGTTTTTTATTTATGGTCAGTCTTCCAGATTTATTAAAGGGAGCCGTGACTTCTATCTGTGTATCCATTGGAGCAATGTATTTGTGTAAATGCCTCACTTTTTTTTTTTTTTTTTTAAGATTTTCGAAGGTGCAAAGTGTCTTAATTGTGTAATGAAGTAAATCAAATCACAGTACCAAAGAAGCTGCACAGCTGATTACCCTGATAGTTACCCCCTTGCGGATGGTGCTATGTTTCGGTCTGTGACGATGTATTACCCAGAAACATGGAGTTTATGGTCAGATCACGTCTCTCTGCATCGCCTTTCCAGTCTGTGGTGAACTGCACCTCTGCGTGGCGTCCATCTGTTTGCAAGTCAACCCGCAGGGTAGTGATCTCAAAGTTTTGATCATCGATCTGAAAAGACACAAGAGTTGATAAAACTAACAATAGGACAAAATACAAATGTTAATATTCCTAAAAAATAAACTCAATGTTCTTTTATTTGATGCTTACAAAAAAAAGGAACAGTTTTAACCTCACACAGATATTTATTAAGCTTCACTTAGGTTTAGATAAAAGGAGTTATAAAAATTGCCACTTTATTGTAATATGTAATGGATAGCTAAATTTGGTTTGTTTTGATATCTTAATAGTTACCGAACCAGGATAATATAAACTCTTTTGTAGCGCCTAACTGATTAATTATAAGAATACAACTAAATGGGACTTGTGTGTCGAATGACAATAATGCAGAACAGTGTTATTGCCATAAGGAGAAAATAATCATTTAAGCGTTGCATTGGAAGAGCCTGGTTGCCCGCCTGCTCCCTTTAGACTATGGCCCCATGTTGAAACGCTTGATTTTCCCCTGCAAAGACACGAAAGCCGGGTCATTCAGTGCTTGCCCTGTTTGAGCGGTGATACCCCAGATAGCTGTGCCATGGAGCCCATTTGTATAATGAAAGACTATGTGAAAGACTTTGGCTCCATGGCAATTGAACTGTATGTATGTGATCTGAGCGCCATTCAGTAATAATGTGCGCTCAGATCTGAGCTATCTGGGGATATGTTGAATGTACCTGTTTTATGCAATGGCTGCACAGTTATATATTTTTATGTATTTTATTGTCTTTTGCTGCCATGTGTTCAATGGAGTTTTGCCTCTGTCCTTGGAGATAATTGGATTACTTCCCAATTATCTCCAGGATAGAAGACTCTGTGGAACTGGTTTTGGGCAGAAAAGCCATGCTTCATTTGGTCACAAAGGACTACGATCTATCTTTTGAACCACTGGACCAATTTGTATGATTTTGATGTATGTTTGTATTTGGAGTATGCTGATTCTCAAAAATGTAAGTTTTTTGTGATGCAAACTTTTAAAATTATGAATGTGGAAAAACTGTATTTCTCTACCTGTGATAATTACATTACCCATTGTGTAAGGTAACAGTATCACAGGCAGAGGGGAGTATTTTGGGTGGGAGTGTCTGAGTGTATTGTACGTGTTTATTGGTTGTTTTCCAAAACCCTGTGGGTTGTACTAATGTGTAAGAATGTGTATATAAGAACAATAAACCCACAGCTCTGTCTGTTCCTGCTTGACCCTCAAAACAGAGCCTTGTCTTGTTCTTGGGGGGGATTTATTGTATGCTGTTCCAGTTCGACTGCTAGGAGTGTAAACCTATTCGTATGGTTTTTCCTATTCGGCTGTTTACGGCATTCATATGGTTCTCCAGTTCGGTGTATTGGTGTCTACGGTAGCTGTGCCTGTGTCTCTGGAAGGGAAGATCTACTAAACGGCTTTTAACCCCCTTTTATGCCTGGGGGTGACGTTATACGGGCACATGATGTATATTTGATGGTAGATGCAGGTTACGTGTAGAATGTGAGCAGTGTTGATGAAAAAAGTAATGGGACATTACTAGTGGCCATCATCTATTACCCCAAAACCAAGCCTGTTCTAGCAGCACCTCTCTCTTCCCAACACCATAAAAACAAAAAGTAGTCCAAGAGTTGGATAAAGAACACACAATATGTATAATGGTGCAGTGAAGTAGAGTATGCAGGGTACATTGGGAAAATGGAAACCAGAAAAGAAAATGTACATGTTAGAGGGAATAGAGGTATGGTCTATTATTATTATTATATTTATATAGCACCAACAAATTCTGAAGTGCTTTACAATGGGTGGACTAACAAACATGTAATTGTAACCAGACATGTTTGACGCACAGAAACATGAGGATATGCTAATTGGCGCAGTGTGGGGTTTTGCCGTGCATGTGCAATAGCCTCTGGATTGGCTGAGATCACCAATTTTGATATCAGCCAGGGAGGCGGAGTGGAGCTTTCTCTGGGCGGCACAGGTATAAAGGCGAGTATATTCACCATTTAAGTTGCTTATGTTTGTATTCCTGTCACTATAATGTTCCTTTCAATCAGACTTTTTATAGGCTCCTATTATTTAAAGGAACACTTCAATTGAAAAAAGTTATTTTATTATTTCTTAACAATTAGACATAGTCCCAATGAAAATGTGCAAACGTTGAACTACGATTCTTTTTTCTTGATTGGGGGTATATCTCAAAACAGATTGCAATATCTGCAAATATCTTCTTGTCTGTTGCCTTTGCAAGCCCTTCCCTTCAAACCCAGCCCAGCCAGTCTGTGGCTGTCCAATCACAGACTGCTCAATGCAGCTATTTTGCAGGTGCCTTGCAAAATAGAACAAACTCTGCACACATAAAGCACTTCCGCAATATAAAGTGTTTTAAGTGTGTGGGGTGTCTCTTAAAAAAAAAACCCAGTATGAACATCTCACCCTGGCAGTAACTGTTCCATGCTTCTCGCCCTTGTTGTTTATCATTCGGATCCCAGCTTTGAGGAACATCGCCTTCATTTGATCAGGGGTTGCTGTCGTTGCAAAATCTACATCATGCGGCTGGTTCCCCACAAGGAGATCTCGCACAGCCCCTCCTGCTATGCGTATTTCATGTTTCTCTTGGGCAAAAAGATCTGCAAGTAGGTAGGAATCACAGCATCACTGCATTTATTTCAATTGGAGTGGGCATAGGACAATTTTAATACAATCTTATATTGTACTAATGAGTTGCCAATACTATTGTGCTGGGAATAATAAAAAAATAAAAATAATTTCAGAATGTTTACTATATCACTGCGCTCAATTTGCTGTGATTTTGGTTTTTGTTGTTTGAATATAGGCACATAGTGACAGATGACATTCGATTCTGATTCAAAAGCATTGGCAAAGAATTGCCAATTACTTTATCATTGCTCTAACTGGGTATGTGCTCACCAGCAGGATCAGACACAATGGAGGGGTTGAATTTTAAGTCTGTCTGAAGAGGGTAATGTTAGCATTCACAGAAATTATTACCACTGACATCAATGGAGTAGAGGCAAGTATTAATTAATATTTCCTTTAGCAATTAAGTGTTTCATTCATCATTAGGATAAAAAACTTGTGACACTTATATTTACATATACAGAACATATTCTAAATCAGATTTTTTATTATTTTCCCTTACATTGTACTGAATGTATGATACGATAGATATGAACAACGCCCACTTACTGTGCAGTAAGTGAATTAATGACGCATGGGTTCCTTGCTGCCTCCCCCCCCAAACACAATGCATTGTAATATTTACACCGGTTTTATTCACTCATTGGGCCTCTTAGTTTCCTAATCACATAACATTTGTTCTTACAGTTGGACAGTAAATGGAAGGTTCTGTCCTGTAGTAGATAGAAATCATGCTGTATCTAAGAATACTTTTTGGGATCTTTAAATTGCAATCTGCGCAAGGAACATTACTCAGGTAAACATACTAAGGGATAGTAGTTTTCACATACTGCTGGTCAGCATGAGCAAATAATGTGTTTATAGGAAAACACTAAAGATATTTTATCTGAGTATAAAGGTCTGTTCCCTCACCCCAGTAAATGACACTTAAAGGATCACTATAGGGTCAGGAACACAAACGTGTATTCCTGACCCTATAGTGTTAACACCACCATCTAGCCCCCCGGGCCCGTCATGCCTCCATAAATATAGTAAAAATATTACTGTATTCAAGCCTGAAGCTGTAAATCTGCATGCTGTTAGACTCAGAAAAACCAAGAAGTCTACTGACATGTGGTAGCCTGATCCAATCACAGTGCTTCCTCATAGGATTGGCTGAGATTGACAAGGAGGCAGATCAGGGGCAGAGCCAGCAGGATTCAAACACAGCCCTGGCCAGTCAGCATCTCCTTATAGAGATGAATTGAATCAATGAATCTCTATAAGGAAAGTTCAGTGTCTGCATGCAGAGGGAGGAGATACTGAATCACAGGATGCTGTGCACAGTGCTGCCCTGTGCTCTGCTGACAGCAGATCTGAGTGGATGGAGGCATATCATGCCTCCATCAACTCCGAAGTCCCTCTGGTTCACTTTGAGTGACTGCAACTGGAGGTGTTCCTAGCTTTCAATGTAAACACTGTATTTTCTTAGAAAATACAGTGTTTACATGAGAAAGGCTGCAGGGAGCTATAGTTCTCACCTGAACAACCTCATTAAGCTAAAAGGTGTTCAGGTGACTATAGTGTCCCTTTAAGCATTTACTGGGGTGAATACTGCAGTAGACGTAAGTAACAAACAAACACCCTTCTGCTGCCCTTTCATGTTCAGGGTGACTTCGCCTCCTCATGATGCCATGCCATGCCAGTGACGGCGTATTATTTTAATACTGCTGTATGTGGGCATGGCCCCTGCAGATACTGCAAGTTTTAATAGAATTTACACCACATGCCTTACAAATAAAATTTAATTAATGAAAACTACTGATAATTATATAAAAAACATTAGGGCAATGACACACAGCTAACTTTCAGATCATTGTTGGGTTGTGTTAATTAAACCTTGGTAGTGACAGAGCTACTTTAAGTCTCCAAATACTCACTTGTAAGGGTCTTCAACCCATCTGTGAACAGAGCCTTGAAATCATCAGACTGAAGCCTCATGGTGTAAAGCTGCCTGCTCAATGTCAAAAACCGTCCTAGCATCTAAACCCAAAACTGCCAATGATCTGTGAAGTCGGAAAACAAATGGTCAAAAAAAAAAAAAAAAAAATAGAGCGAAAGAAGGATGCTTACATTCTATATAGAATGCTCTATTACACTGATATGTATCAGTAACATGCACAGCTAGGTGAGAAGCAGTAAATAGTGAGACTGCAGGTCTACATACATACACAAGGTCCTTGCTCACACACGTGTGTTGTACTCAGTAATGGTCGCTTACAGACTGTACATATATAACGTGACAATCATCCATAGGGATGATTTCTATTTTATTTCATCCTCTTGTCAAACTTGTCAATAGACTATAACAACAGCTAATTCGATGTCTCCAAACCCTTGCAATGAATATCGCCAATGATTTCCGCCAGTCCTGACGTCATAACACTGCGTCTCGGTGATCTGGATGGGCAGGGAGTTACCTTGCGTTCCAAATAAGCCATATTGCGGTTGGCGAGCCATATTGGGACTGGCTTTAAAAAAGTACCCAGAATTTTTAAATTAAATTGATCTACTCAGAATGATTAAGTGATTTAAACTCCTTACCTGGAATTAGAAGCCGAATTTGAGTTTTTCTTCAGGGCAGGGATGCTCCTTTATGCAGAACATAGATTATTTAGGAATTATAGACTTTAATAATGGTTTACATGTCTTTATGGCATTCGGGTCTATGCTTGTAATTTCTCAGATGCATGTTTACAAATTATTACTGCAATATCCTCAAATTAAGAGAAAGTAACTATAATTTAAGGATTTACGTATACGAATATGGAGTCATCCCACAAATCCCTTTATTGCAAGTTTGCTCTTTTTTTTTGAAAAAAAATAAAAAATAAACTATATGATTTATCAGAGACATGGGAGAGACAGCAATAACATTACTCTACATCTTTCCAGTGATTGTTGGAAATTAAGGAACCTCTGAGGCCAGGCAAAATGGTAGGCAGGGACTTGTTTGGGGTTGTAATAATGACTTATTATCTGTCAGTGATGGGTTATGGTAACAGAAATGGGATAGGTAATAAGTGGGATCACTGACTGGTATAAATATATTATGATTTTATTTTGGCTTCAGGGACCCCCTCCCGCCGGGCTCTGGGGAGAGGAAAGGGGTAAAAACTTACCTTTCTCCAGTTCTGGGCGGGGAGCTCTCCTCCTCCGATCCTCCCATTCGGCTAAATGCGCACGCGCGGCAAGAGCTGTGCGCGCATTCAGCCGGTCGCATAGGAAAGCATTTACTATGGACGCTTGCGTGCTCTCACTGTGATTTTCACAGTGAGAATCACGCAAGCGCCTCTAGCGGCTGTCAGTGAGACAGCCACTAGAGGAATTGTAGGAAGGATTAACCCATTTGTAAACATAGCAGTTTCTCTGAAACTGCTATGCTTATAAAAAAAATGGGTTAATCCTAGCTGGACCTGGCACCCAGACCACTTCATTAAGCTGAAGTGGTCTGGGTGCCTAGAGTGGTCCTTTAAAGTGCTGAGGAGGTGTTTCTAAACAAAGTGTGCAACTAAGCTGCTAACAAATACAAATTGGCACTGTACTGACAGAAAATGGGTTTATTTTACTTTTCCTCCCAGTTTAAGGTTGTCAGATGAGTAAAACATGAAAGATAAATGGCACAATCTGGAATGAGACTTTTTTTTACTGTTTTAACTCAATAAAAGCCCACTGGAAATCACTAAATAAATCACTGGAAATCTGCAGTTGCAGTATCAGTTAAGCCTTTAAAATTACTATTGCAATGCAGTACATGCATTTGGGAAGTGAAAAAAAAAAAAAAGAGGATTGCTTTACTTTAAGTACATTTTCGTTTTACATACATGCTCTGGTCCCATTGTGTACGTAAAAGTGGGGTATGCATGTATAGAAGTATAGATGTGCACTCGGGATGTGCTGGGATTGAGGGTAATTGGTCTGACCGCTTTGTATTGCTCTCGTGCAGAGCGTTGCCAATCCTCTGACATTATCTGTGGTGCTGCAGCTTGCGAGAGAAACATATACTATCTGCACTCAGGCAATGGCTTATGTAACTTCGATGTTCGGGCTAAGCTTATGTAGTAAATAAAACACGACACAGAGTATAGGTATAAAAAAGGCCACAGACGATTTATTAAAATTATTGTCCCGCAAAACCTGTAATTAAAATAGGTGTGTTAACATGGACAATGATCCAAAGCATATTAAAAACCAATAACACATGACTTTATCAAAACCTCCAACTTGCCCGGAGTTAAAAAGTGCCCATCCGAAGACCAATTTGGGAAGGGCATACCCAGATGTCTGCCCCTTACCTGAGGTTCCCAGTTTCCAACCAGAAACCTCCCACCGATCATTGCAATCAGGCCCAAATCACCTAAATACCTGGCAAGCCCCTGCGACTGAAAGAAAAACCAAACCACCACCAAAAGTGAGTGAGGGTGGGACAACTTCGCAAGTAATTTTCTCAAACTAAAATGGCCACTGACCCCCTAACTGACCACTACCTATGCCCACTGACCCCCCTCCCTCCAGGCCATATGCATATCAGACTGATTCCACCCAAAAGGGCAGAACAGATCCAAAATACAGGCTGACTTTCTCTGTACGAGAGACACAGCAACCCCAGATGATCGTTTCAACCTTGTTAGGCATTGTCAGTGAAGTATAGCCAATACCTCTTTTCCTGACATTATTCATGGCAGCATTTACTCATGGGTTAGCTCCTCCCCTCACAGCAGAAAGGACATGAAATAGAACTCTGAAACTGGTATAAACAGATCATCCCCCTTCCCATCAGGCAGTCTTTTTACTGTCCTTCACAGCAGTTTGGAAGGAGTCTGCTTATGCAGGCCTAGATTTTCTTTTATGCTCACCAGGCAATATTTTTGTAGTCATGCCGGGGTTCAGCCTCTAAGCCCTGAAGACCCAGCAACGCACTATTGTTAATACTGCAAACATAGGTACCCCCTTTAGTGACTGGGGGTCGGACCCAACCTCTCCCTTAAGGGATGAAAATGGTCCACTGCATGCCAGGGTTCAGCCTCTTATCCCTGAAGACCCAGCAACAGGCCAGCTTGGGTACCCACTCAGGGGATGAATGTGATATATTGCCTACATAATACCAGGCCAGGGTTCAGCCTCTTATTCCTGAAGACCCAGCAACAGGCCAGCTTGGGTACCCCCTCAGGGGATGAATGTGATATGCTGCCTACATGAAGCCAGGCCAGGGTTCAGCCTCTTATCCCTGAAGACCCAGCAAACAGCACATCTGTAACAGTTGCCAGCCTGGGTACCTCCTTCAACAATCAGGAGTCTGACCTAACTCTCTCCCTGAGGGGATAACAGCAGTCCACTGCATACATGAGGCCCAGCCGAGTCTAAGCCTTTATCCTTGAAGACCCACTAAACAGCACTTACATAAGGTGACTACCTGGGTATACCTATTCTTTGTGTTCCACCTTGTATGGGGTTGGTTAAACCTCCTCCCACTGGTAATGATGGACGGCATATGGGGTACAGATGGAAGCCTATAGTTTAAACAGTTTAGGCTGTCAGTTGTTCAAATCCCCATTTTGCCGTTTGAAACACAGGCCTGCAGCTGTTCAGGTAAGTGCATTAGTAATTAGATTAAAACTAGTATAGGCACCTGGGTCTCTGTTCTTTCAGTCCCTCCCAGGTGCTTACATTAGGCTTCCTTCTAACAAATAGGTCACATTTAGGAGGTTTGTGTGGTGAGCATTTAGGTAAGTTTATACATGAAAGGATGCTTGGTGCAAAAGAGTGCTGATAATGCAAGGAGGCATTGTGCAAAAGAGTGCTTATGATGCAATAAGGCATTGTGAAAAAGAGTGCTAATAATGGATATCCTGGCTGTATAAAGTCTGCTGGAATTGCACAGTCCTGAAGAAATATCCAAGGTAAGAGAACTTCCCTGGGTGACTGAAGTATGTGTATGAGTTACTATGGGGACACAGCCTCAGTATATGTATCCACTATATTGTCTACGTATGAGTTGATCGGAAGTCTCGGCTCAGTTTGTGTTCTTTATTTGCTCTGAAAACATAGCCTCAGTATATGACTCAACATGCTCTATATGTAAGTTGGTGTGGACATTGCTTCAGTGGATCTGTTCACTATATGCTTGATGTATTAGTGGAAACACAATATATGTGAATGATATAAGACACATCCTCTATGAGTCCAATCTAATACAGGTTTTTTTTTTGTGTGGGTTATTAGTCACAACCTCAGTATATATGAGTGGTGTAATATGTGCATGAAGTTCTGTTGAAAACAGCCTCAATTTATCTCACTCATATAATCTTAATATGTGTACGGGCATAGTGTCACTGTATATAGCAGAGGTAGGTTATTACTATTTGAACAGACTCAGTATATGTAACTGATATATCTGTGCATAAGGTGCTGTTAGAAACATCCAAAATGTATGTGATTCATATAATCTGTATGCAGGTTGGTAGTATTAGATAACCCCAATTTATACACGGCATTGATAGATTTAATATATACAAATGATCTAAGGTCTGGGTTTTGCGCTGAAATGTAACACTGCCCAATTCTAGCAAATGCACTGTTGTACTGGGTAAGTAACTATTGCTTACTGTGGATTTTCTATTTCAGATTTTAAATGAAGTAGATAAGGAAACATGCTGCTTTTGGCTTTGTATTAGATTCCTTCTCCCACAGGTGTTTCAGGATAAACAATTAACCACTTCAGATAGATTGCAGGTGTTACTGAACCTGTCTGAGTGCCTCTCCCAGGAGAGAAGGAGACCTGAATTTCCAAAATGGTACTGTTTAACAAAATTAAGGCCTTTTCTTGTGTGCACTCCTATGTATTTATACATGAGACCATTTCTGAGAAGTTTTTCTATTGCCAAGTATCCTCTCCTCTCTTATCAAGATAGGGAATGTTTTGGTGGCAGTGTTTTACCTTCAGATATATACTATTACTGATGCACAGCTTAGTAGATCACACT